CATCAGTTTGCTCTTCTGGAGCCCTCCTTCCTGAGCTAAGACAAAAATGTGTGAGCTGGAGGCTAAAAAGCTGTGAGCTAGCGCACACTAACTCAGCTTAGAGGGAACAGTGCTGGCGACCCTGTTTTCTCCTGCCTCCCCCCTCCCCGCCTCACTCCCATGGCCTGTTTCATGCAGATACATAAGGCAGCTGAATTTCCCGGTGAAATCCTTGGCTAGGGTGGGAACAGAACACACTGGGTAGAGACCCAGGATATAAGCATGATTGGGATTTGAAAATATTGTTTCTCCCAGCTCCAAGCAAAAGAAAAGACCGAAATTACTCAGGCCCTGTTTTCTCCTGCCTCCCCCCTCCCCGCCTCACTCCCATGGCCTGTTTCATGCAGATACATAAGGCAGCTGAATTTCCTGGTGGAATCCTTGGCTGGGGTGGGAACGGAAGACACTGGGTAGAGACCAGGATATAAGCATGATTGGGATTTGGAAATATTGTTTCTCCCAGCTCCGAGCAAAAGAAAAGACCGAAATTACTCAGGTCATCCTGTACATGATGCTGCGTGCTCCTTCACGGCCGCCACCCTGGCCTGAGTCTGGCGTGTGATGTTGCTTTCCTCATATTTCGGATTTGGAATGTGTCTGTGTGTGGGGCTTAGGACAACACTTCAGCTTTGGAACACGGCTCACGATACCCCTTCAGTGCAGTCCAGTGGCATCCCTTACATTGCAGGGTGCGCTTGAGGCTGAAAGTGGGTTTACACCAACCCTGTTGTGCGGGCCACTGCTAATAGCCCCGTTTTGCAGAATGGCGGAGTTTATGGCTATCGTTTGTATGGTGGTCTCTGCAGATTGGGGGGGGGGAAGTAGGGTCTTACAGCAGCTGGCCTCCTAAGTGTCGGCGTTCATGGGAAAAATACTGGCTGCCTCTAGATGCACACTGTCGCAGGGGCTGCAAGAAAGGCATTTGGTGGTCTGCCTTTCTGTTGTGGCTCAGGGTGTTCGGCACACAGGTAGTTATCAAGGCGCAGGTGAAGAACTGCAAAACAGGATATACAGACACGTTCAGGGAACCCGCTTCGCTCAGCAGGTTCGTGCGTCTCACCTGTAATCATGGCCGTCGTTTTGAAAGCAGATGTAAAAAATGGCACGGAGTACGCAGATCACTCCAGGCAGACTCTTTCCAAATTTTCCAAAAAGAAAAGGAGCCTCTGGTCCCGTACCGGTTCTAGAGTTTTATGCATACATGCCATAATGCTGTCAGGACGGGTGCATTGTGGCCTGTAATGTACATTCCATTTTATTTACGGTATTTTAACGTTCTTCTGCCGCACTGAGACTCAAGGCAGATTCCATTGCATGAGTCAGCACGAACAATAGGGCGAAGGTACCTCTAAGAAATAGGGTTACCAACTCTGGGTTGGGAAATTTCTGGAGATTTGGGGGTGGCGTCTGGCGAGGGAACTCTGGAGGCTATCATGCCGCAGAGTCTACCCTGCAGGGGGACTGACCTCTGCCGTCTGGAGATCGGCTGCGATTCCGAGAGATCTGCAGACCCCACCTTGAGGTTGGCAAATTTACTAAGAAGTAACATCATCCGACTAGGATAGCAGAAATACGAAACAAGGCATCACTACTAAACATGAGCAGTGAGAGTAAGATAAAAAAATGTACATCGACAAGGCATTCAGGCAGGTAGCTGTGTTGGTCTGAAGAAGAAGAAGAGGAGACTGGATTTATACCCCGCCCTTCGCTACCCAAAGGAGTCTCAGAGCGGCTTACAAACTCCTTTCCCTTCCCCTCCCCTCCCCACAACAGAAGACACCCTGTGAGGTAGGCGGGGCTGAGAGAGCTCTGACAGCTCTTTTTCAAGGACAGCTCTGCCAGAACTGTGGCTTGCCCAAGGTCATCCAGCAGCTGCAAGTGGAGGAGTGGGGAATCAAACCCGGTTCTCCCAGTTTAGAGTCCGTGCTCTTAACCACTACACCAAACTGAAGCGACTGAACCGGCTTCGGCTGAGAGGGCAGGGTAAAAGTTCGAATAAATAAATAAATAAAATAAGTTTGAGTCCAGTGGCACCTTTAAGACCAACAGAGTTTAATCCTGAGTAGAAGCTTTCGTGTCACGACTCACAAAAGCTCCTACCCTGCCACGAATTGTTTAGTTTTTAAGGTGCTCCTGGACTCTTGCTCTTTTCCCCACTGTTTGAGGACAGATTGAGTTTCCAGCATACAAGAGCATATCCCGAGCTGAGCAAAGACATCCCACTCATTCGCCAGGAAGTGTCCACGGGGTTCCTATCTTATATCGGAACACTGATTCTTTCTTCCCCTCTCTCTGTGATTTCAGGCCTTGTTAGGAGACTGACTTGAAAGATGATTGGTGGCCAAACGAAGGACCTCGCATGATTGGCCGCCTTCGAGGAGAGAGAGCCGCTCAGAGTGTCACTGGCCCAGTAAGTATACGCTGGCTGTGGTTTGCATGTTGACTGAGGGGAGGGCAAGGGGTTAAGTCTGGCAAACATCAGGGCTGAGGTCCCGCCTCTGCTCTCCACACGAGGGAATTCCATTGGAGGAGGGCAAGCGGGGGCCCTGCCCTGCAGGGGGTGGGGTCTGCGTTCATTGACGGGAGGCGCACAGTGTATTAACTCCTTCCTTGCTGCAGCTGATTGCGGTCAAAGGAGGAAATGAATTCTCCTGTTCGTTCAGCAAGGAAATTCACACCGGTTTGAGTGGCAGAAGCTCAAAGGGTTTGGAAACCCAGGGCCACTAAGGAATTCTGGAAGTAAAAAATACAGATTTCTTTTGTTTGGTTTTTTAAAAAGAATTTGAGATAATGGACGTGAAAGAACCACAGTTGTTTTGAACAATAACATGTCAGCTCTTGTCTCGTGAAAATGAATTTCGATGTGATTTATTGCACATTCAAAGCTGTTTTTATAAGGATCGGGTCCAGAACGGAAGCCTTCAGTTTTATATTATGCTAAGTTGGAATGAATGAAATATATATATATTTCATAATATATATGTATTTAATATATATATATATATATTAAAATCAGTTAAGTGATGACTAACTGCCGTGTTTCCCAACATGTTGGCATTTCTTACTTATATGTATAATATTTCTAGATTATTTGGGTTCCAGATCTCTTCGGGATAAAGAGGGTTCCCTTTCCCCCCCATGACTCTTGAGTGATTCTGTTTTTCCTTTTCCTCCCAGCGTTGCATGTGGCTGTGACCCGACAAGGGAATAGACCGACACCAGAGGAAACTCAACTGGCGGGCGACTGGGTGGAAGCACCCGTCGCTCAGATCCAGGGGGTGGAGGGGGGGAACCAGGACGCATCCACCACGGGAGGAGCGGTAAGAATTGGGCCTGGGGGGTCCGGAGGGGGAGAAGGGGGTCAGGCTGTCAGTGGGACAGGGAGAGGGAAGAGATAATTATGGGGGAGGGGTACCTCAAGGGAGTCATGTGTGAGAACAGTAGGGTTGCCAACTCCAGTTTGGGCAATTCCTGGAGATTTGGAGTTGGAATCTGGGGAGGGCAGGGTCTGTGTAGGGGAAGCGATTTCAGTGGGGTGACAGTGTCGGAGATTCCGCCTTCCAAAGCAGCTGTTTTCTCCAGGGGAACCGATCTCGGTAGTCTGCAGTTCAGTTGATCTCCAGGCCCTACCTGGAGGCTGGCAACCCTAGGGGAGAGGGGCAGGGAGCTGCGTGGGGAGGCGGGGCCAGTTGGGATGGGTGCGACTTGGGCAGAAGGGGGAGCCTTGAATGCGTTAGAGTGGGGGAGTGGTTAGTATGTGGGGAGGCTGGGGGGGGAGGAGTCAAAAGTTAAGAGGAGTGGGATTTTGGAGAAGAGGAGTGGATTAGATGGGCGGGAGGGTATTTCAGAGGAGGGGCTGAATCTCCGAGTGGAGGCAGTGGGGCGGGAGGTGATGGGTCGGATCCAACCAGCTATTCTGCTGGCGGATAAGAGAGGAAGCCAAAAAAGACTACACTGGGCACCACAGGACCTGCCCCGAACCAAAGCCAAGTGGAATGGCAGCGGTGTTAAGAAGAACTACTGAGCGGAAAATCTGGCTGGATTCCACCCTGTCTGGTTTCTAAGATTATTATTATTATCACCATCATCATTATTATTACCATTATCACTACTGTTAATAGTAATTAATGGGAATCTCTGTAGTGCTTTCATGGCTCAGAGGGCTTTGTGCCTCACATCCTTTGGTTGCGATGTTTCGCGAGGGCCCTGCAGTGTCGGCCGGGGGGGCTCAACCTCTCGTCTTCTCCCCGTACCTTCCCTTAGACTGGATGCATCGCACGGTGGAACAACTTGGGGGCCGTGTCGGACGGGATCCCTTTTCTGTCGGCAGCCTGAGCTGCGGCGGATCTTGGAGTTCGTGCCACCCTCGCCCATGGCTCCCGGGCGGCAGGTGAGTCTCCGGCGGGCTTGCTGTATTCTCTGTCCCCCCCCCCCAAGTGCGGCTTCGTTGGAGTCGTGGGCAAGGGCAGCGGAGGGTTTCTGCCAGCCGTCGTGCCCCCTAACCTGCATCAGCAAAGCCACCCAGCACTGCTGCCGTGCCCACAGTGGTACGTGTCACTACCCCTCTGCCCGATTGGATGGTTTGCCGTCCGTCTTCGCTGCACAGCTGCCATCTCTGCTCCTTGCTTTTGAGCTCCTCCCCATCTGCCCCTGCGCACAATTTTGTTTTCAAAATGTAGGTGGCCGTAATGAGGACTTCGGCTGCGCTGATCTTACGGACCTAGACAGAGGCATACTCTCTTGCAAAGAATCCTGGGAAATGTAGTCTTGTGAAAGCCCCGGGGGTGTTGAGAGTCCACTCCTGGAACTATCCGGGTTGTGTGTAGGAAAGGCCACCACCCGTGGCGGCCGTTTTGTGGACGTGCCCACCGCCCCGTGACAGAATCCCAAAGGTGCCCGCAGACTCAGAAAGGTTGGGGACCCTTAGATTAGACAAATGGACGCGTTGAAATAATTACGAAGGAGACTGCCTACGGGGGGTGTACAGAGTGCCGCTTCCCCCGTAGCGGAGAAGAAACCACCGCTGGTCTCCCCCGAGGCTCTTTGGGGGCCCGCAGGCCGGCTCGGTCCCTGTCCGGCTCTTCAGAGACTAACCCCCGGTCTTGTCCCTTCTCCGATTCCTCCTCCCAGGTGCTCTGCCAGTGTTGGACAACCTCAGCTGCCTCTGCACCTGCCGCCCAACCATGTCTCTAGCATGGGGCAACATGGAAAGGGCTATTTCCCCCCGGGGTAAGTGCTCCTCCTCCTGCTTGGGGCATTGGAGACCCAGCAGGCAGGGAAGTGCAAATCCTTGGCTACTGGTAAGCTCCCTGCCTCTATCAGCAGTGCCACCGTGTCCGTTGGGGGGGGTGGGCTGGGGGGGGGGGGAGGTCAAGCCCTGGAGTCCCCCTCCCTGTCGGTGGGCCCGGGCCTTCCCTGCAGAGTGCAGGAGCCCGGGGTGTGTGAGCCCGTCAGGCCCAGCGTTGCTTTCGGCCCCCTCCTCCGTGTCGTGCGCACAAAGTCCCCGCGCCGTGTCGTGCGCACAAAGTCTAAGGCCGTCGCACAGCGCTCCCCCTTTAAATTTATTTCAATGTTTATTTCATTGTTTTAAATTTATTTCGACCGAGTACTGAATGGCTGGCTTAAAGGCAGATGAACAGATGCTCTTTTCGTTTCGGGGGGCCAGCCACGTGGGTCCGTGGTCAAACCGCTCGCGTCGAGTCCAGCGGCCGCCTTAGGGGCCGACGAGATTTCCGGGGAATCGGCTTTCGAGAATAAGCTCGTACCTGACGAAGGGAAGTTTGACTCTCGAAAGTTCGTTCCCCGAAATTCCTGTTGGTGTCTAAGGTGCGACTGGACGCGAATCCGCACGAGACGCTCCTTGAATCCGTTTGATAGTTCTACTTCAAGTGGATTTCTTGTCATCGTTGTCACGGCACTTGATCTCGTCTGTAGGATCAGGGCCCTGCTGTGTTCCTCATACATTGCAGAGATCCAAGACGCTGCGGCTCTGACACTCTCCCGCCCGAATCCACTAGGCCTCCGTCCCGTCCCAGGGATCCCAGGTGTCCTGGGCGTCTCGGTACCTTTTGCTTCCTCAGCACACGTGATGCCTTCTGCTGCTGCAGGCGCATGGCCCGTGTCCTTAACCCCAGTTCCCTCCCCCAGGAATCTGGCCCCGCGCCCCTTGCACGGGAAGCTGGAGGCCATCCACAGCTGCGTCCAAGCTCTGCTGCGCGACCAGGGACAACCGCAGCTCTGGGAGCAGCTGGGCGAGATCTACGAGTCGGAGCAAGACTGCGAGGAGGCCGTTCGCTGCTATCAAAACGCCGCCCGCTATCAGCGCGACTACGGGAGCTATGGCGAGATGCACGCTCGGATCGGACGCCTGCAGCAGGTGGGGGTGGCTCGACTGAGCAGCGTGTCTCGGGAGAAAGGGGGGGGCAGAGACATGCGGATGGATGATTGGGAGGCTGGGGGAGGGGGTCGGAAAGGGGAGGATTTCGTTGGGGCGATTTTGGAGTCCCTCGCGCTACCCTCAGTTCATCGCAGCCTGGGAGAGCCAGTTTGGTGTCGTGGTTAGGAGCGTGGGCTCTAATCTGGGAGAACCAGGTTCGATTCCCCACTCCTCCACATGCAGCTGCTGGTGTGACCTTGGGTCAGTCACAAGTTCTCTCTGAGCTGTTCTCTCAAGGGCAGTTCGAGAGAGAGCTCTCTCAGCCCCACCTACCTCACAGGGTGTCTGTTGTAGGGAAGATAAGGGGAAAGGAGTTTGTCAGCCGCTCTGAGACTCCCTTGGGTAGTGAAGGACGGGGTATAAATCCAATCTCTTCTTTCACGCTGCCTCGTTAGGCTCAGCTGTGGAACTTCCATTCGGGATCTTCTCATCATCGGCCGAAATCATTACCCCCTCTGCAGCAAGTCTGGAACCTCTTGCACCTCGAGGTGAGCTGGGGGTAGTGGGACCCCGGGGGGGGGGGCCAGGAGCACAGGCGTCACTTTGTTCTTTTGTCCCTTGGGTCCTGTGTCTGATGCATGAAACACCTCCTGCGTCTAGCAGCCTCCCTTGAAAATATAAAGCCGTTTCTCAGAAATCCTACCTTAGAAGGCAGGCGGCCTTTGTTCCCTCTGGCCTTTCTGTGGGGAGGTGCCTTTTCTTGCCTCTTTCACACAGGGTGGGGTCGTGCTTAGAATGTCAGGCCAGGATCCAGGAGATCCCGGTCTAGATCCCCACTCTGCCATGGAAGCTCGCTGGGTGACCTTGGGCCAGTCACGCCCTCTTGGCCTAGCCTACCTCACAGGGTTGTTGTGAGGATAAAAAGGAGGAGGAGACAAAGATGGAAACCCTCTTTGGGGAAAAAGCAGGGTGCAAATGACATTATTGTTGTTGTTGTTAATGATAATGATAATGAAAATATGTATGTTGCAACAGATAAACTACTGGGGATGCCCAAGGAAACATAACTGGCCAGGACAGAAACAGCTGGGGAACAATCGAAATTTTCCCCTACAGGATATTTTGAGCCCTTCAACTGTGTTGCCCCCACCCACTACCCGGGTCAATTACATAAGAGCTGTGGCCTCTAATCTGGGAGAACCGGGGTTGATTCCCCCACTCCTCCACATGCAACTGCTGGGGCGACCTTGGGTCAGTCACAAGTTCTCTCAGAGCTGTTTTCTTAAGGGCAGTTCTGGAGAGAGCTCTCTCAGCCCCGCTTGCCTCACAGGGTGCCTGTTGTGGGGAGGGGAAGGGAAAGGAGATTATAAGCCTCTCTGAGACTCCTTTGGGTTGTGAAGGGCGGAGTAAGAACATAAGAGACGCCAATGTTGGATCAGGCCAAAGTCCCATCCAGTCCAACATTCTGTATCACACAGTGGCCAGAAATACCAGGTGCCGTCAGGAGGTCCAGCAGTGGGGCCAGGACACTAGGAGCCCTCCCACTGTTGACCCCCCCCCCAGCACCAATGTGGCAGTGAATTCCATGTGTTAATCACTCTTTGGGTGAAGAAGGACTTCCTTTTATCCCTTCTAACCCGACTGCTCAGGCATTTAATGGAGTGCCCACGAGTTCTTGTCTTGTGAGAAAGGGAGAAAAATACCTCTTTCTCTACTGCTCTATCCCATGCATAATCTTATAAAACCTTATAAAGTAGAAAGCCAATCTCCTCCTCTTGTTCTTCTAATCAAAGCTCCGCTGCCCAGACCTCATCAGGGTGGCCTTTTGGTGTCCTTTCTCTTTAATTGACACCCAATAGTCTTCTAACTGGGGAGCTCTCCGCCCCATGTCTGCAGACAGCATGCTTTATTCGCGGAGGGGCCCTGCCTTGCTGCCTGACCGGTAGACGCCTGACCACCAACTGAGCTTTTCGGAGGAGGCAGAAAAAAGGGGTGTGTGTGTGTGTAAGGGCTCAGTTTCCACCACTCTCCCCTGCTTCCAGAAGCGGAATTTCTCGTCCAAGCGCAACCCCCAGCTGAAGAGGCCCGGCCCGCCGATGGAGCCACCCGTCGTCCAGCCCATCCCCCCAGTCCAGCACCCACCCCATCCCGGGCACGGAGAAGAGATGCCCGCCCCCATGAAGAGGCGGAGGAGCACCAGCCCCGACCAGGTACGTGAGGGCCAAGCAGACTGGGCGGCTGTGGACGGGAATGCTCACGGCCCCGGAGAAGATGTGGTCCGGGGGCCAAGAGCCAGTTTGGGGTAGTGGTTAAGTGCGCGGACTCTAATCTGGGAGAACCGGGTTTGATTCCCCACTCCTTCACTCACAGCTGCTGGATGACCTTGGGCAAGCCATAGTTCTTTCTGTCAGAGCTGTTCTCTCAAGAGCAGTCCTCGAAAGAGCTCTCTCCGCCCCACTGACCTCACAGGGTGGTGTCTGTTGTGGGGAGGGGAAGGGAAACGAGTTTGTAAACCGCTCTGAGACTCCTGAGTGAAGGGCGGGGTATAAATCCAATCTCTTCTTCTTCTTCTTCTCCCCTGGCCCACTCTTTGATTTATTCCCTTAGGCGAGGGTTTTGTTCTCGCTTTGCGGTGCTTTGAGATAAACCGTTTTATTGCGGATTCAAGAGGGCCGAAAGGGGCCCCCTTGATGGTGGGGGATCTTCTGGCTTCCCTCGACCCTTGCCGTGGTTGCAGGCGGACCCCTAGTTGCAGCGTGGGGGATGAGCCCTTATTCCAGCATAAAAGGGAGAGGAGAGGTGCGAGGCGGTTGAGCGGAGAGGGTGCAGGGGATCCGAGACCACCTTGGCCTCTTTCTCCCTCCTCTCTTCCTTACGGTAAACGTCTTTCCTGGCACAGAATGGCGGTGGGGTCGGACAGCACCCCCCGGGGCCTGGAATCTCTGGAAACCCACATTACCAGCTGCCTAAACCGGGATTATGGAACCCCGTCCATGGAGAGCCGTGGGGCCTGGAACGCAAGAGTGTAGCTGCCCCAGAGAGACAAGTGAGTGCTGGCCCCGTGCATCCAACTGGCTGTCCTCCGTCACGGTGTCTTAGGGGAGCGCTGTTCCCCCCAGTACAATGCACCAAAAATGGGGAACAACCGGGTTTGATATCCCGCTCCCCCCCCACACACATGCAGCTGCTGGTGTGACCTTGGCTCAGTCACAAGTTCTCTCAGAGCTGTTCTCTCACGGTCAGTTCTTGAGAGAGCTCTCTCAGCCCCATCCACCCCACAGGGTGCCTGGTGTGGGGAGGGGAAGGGGAAGGAGATTGTGAGCTGCTCTGAGACGCCTTCGGGTAGTGAAGGGCGGGGTAGAAATCCAATCTCTTCTCTCTCTCTCTCTCCTCGTTCTTTTCGGGACTACAGTGCAGCTCGCTTCAACTTCCTTCTCCCAGGCAAAGGATGGCCCCCGACTGGCACTGTTCAGAATGGGATGCCGGATTAGAGGGGCCCTTGGTGTGGCCCATCAGGGCTACACTTAGCTCCTGTTTGCAAAAGCACAGGTTTCTCGCCCTCGTGACTCCTAAGTCAAATGGGCGGTGTCCCGCAGTTCTAGTAGCTCTCCTTTCCCTCGCAGGGAGTGATCTTGGCCCTCTCCTTTGAGGAAGACAGAGTGTCTTCCTCTGTACGTTCTGATTCTGCCCAGCCCTGGCCTTCACTCGCCAGCCAGTGTTCCCTCTCAGCTGAGTGAGTGTGAGCCAGCTCACCGTTTTTTAGCCTCTGGCTCACACCTTTTTGTCTTTGCTCAGGAAGGATGGCTCCAGAGCAAACCGATTTATGCAGGAGCCAGATCGCTCGCCCACAACTTTGACGCCGGTAGCTCACAAAGTAGGATTTTGGCTCACAGGACTCCACAGCTTCGAGGGAGCATTGTTCGCAACTAGAGGTTGCAAGCTCTGGAGTGGGAAATCCGTGGAGTTTGAAGAGGGCAGGGTTCGAAAGGAGAAGGCCCCTCAGTGTGATGCGGCGCCATAGAACTCCACCTTTCCGAGCAGCCGTTTCCTCAAGGGGAACGGGTCTCTGTCTTCTGGAGATCAGCTGTCATCAGTGCTCCCTCTAAGCTGTGGAGTCTTGTGAGCAAAAATTCTACTTTGTGAGCGACTGGCGTTTAAAGTTGTGAGCGATTGATTTGGCTGCGGCATGAATCAGTTTGCTCTGGAGCCCTCCTTCCCGAGCGGAGACAAAAATGTGTGAGCCGGAGGCTAAAGAACTGTGAGCTGGCTCACACTCACTCAGCTTAGAGGGAACTGAGTAATCCCAGGAGATCTCCAGGTCCCCACCGGGAGACTGGCAGCCCTGCTTGCGACAGACGACGGGCAGGATTGCGCGTGGGCGCGGAAGGCCCCGCCTCGCGGTGGGAGCGACCCAGCTGGGCTTGTGTTCTGTGCACCCCCGGGCTCCGCTCCAGAAAAGCCTGACGGCACATTTGTCCTCTCCTGCAAGATCCACTCCCTTCTGTGACCAAAGGCATAATTCCAAACCGTTGAAGGGCACAGAACGAATGATGTAAACGTAGGCAAATGCTCTCGGTTTGAATAATAGGTTCGGGTTGGGGAGGGGGGAGTTTGGAGGCCATCCCTTTCCCCCCCGGCTTACTTTCTTTGCTCTCTCTCCCCCCCC